ACCAATGGTGGTTGTTGTTGCCTTGAGCTTTTACCCCTTGCGGTTCTAGATCTTTTGGATGTCATTTTTATAAGAAATGGTGGAATTTGAAGCTTTCTATCTCTTAGGGTTTTGGAAAAATTTGAGAGAAAATGGTAGAAATTTAGTGTAGATCGAAAGGAAAGATGAGGGGATTGAGAATATGTAAAAAATTTTGAGTTTGGACGGAAGAATTAGAGAAGATCTTGAAAAGAAATATGGTTTGAAGGTATGAAAATGGGGGGTTTTAGAGAGAGAAAGTGATGAAGAGAAGATGAAATAAGGAGAAAGTGAGAAAAGAAGAGGAAGAAAAGAAAGTAAAAGGTCGGCCAAAAAGTGGCACGCCCGATTGGGCGAAGATAGTTTGTTCTAGAATTTTAGTTGCGCGCCCGATCGGGAAAGCTCCGCCCAATCGGGTGCGAATGCGAAGGGAATTTTCGCCCTTTTCTCGCCCGATCGGGCGAGATTCGCCCGACATATCTTTTCTCCTGACTCGATTTCTCAAAAATTTCGCCCGATCGGGCAAGCTTCGCCCGATCAGGCGAAAATAACTCGATTTCCAACCTCACTTGCGCCCCCGATCGAGCGAAAATAGAGCTGGAATTTTCTTTACTTGCGCGCCCGATCGGGTCCGTGCCCGAATCGGATCTCTTCTTTATTTGTAGCTTCTTTTTCTTAAGTCTCCGTACCTGTCAAATCTATACATGTACAAAAACCCTTGTAGAAGGTAAAATTGCACTATCCTCTCCTCTCTCTAAAAAAAATAAAAAACAAAAAAATAAAATAAAAGAGAAACTAGTCTAAAAAGCAAGAAATACGGGTTGCCTCCCGCAAGCGCTGGTTAATCTAGGTCCCGCACGACCTTCTTATCAAGTACAAGAACTAGGACCCTCGACCTAACGCTTGTCGGGTGGTTTTTCACCTGGTCGAGCGGTGTTTAGGCCACGATGCGGCTTCTTGACATACCCTGTGGGACGCCAATTCACCTTATCTGGTGGATCCTCTTTGACTTGGACTGGAGGTTCTTCAATGCTACGCACTAAAGATCCCTCTTTGATCGAGGGTTGCTTCAAATTGTCATTGCATTTAGCACTTGCAACTCGATCTGGCGGAACACTAACCGTAGGCTCAATTTCCACAACTTGCTTAATTGATTCCACCTTTTCGTCCTCAAAACCAAGACCGATAGTGTAAAAGGCTCTTTCTATCGCATCAACTTCCTTCTGCCATTTGTCTATCTCAACTGAAAGGGATGCAACACAAGATACCGCCTCTAAGGGATCTTTTACAAGAGCTAGGGGCTTGTTAGAATAATTATGAACCACATTAACACTAAAGCACTTCTCCTCTGTCATGTGGCTTTTAGGGGTATTATTAAGATTAAAAATAATTTTTATCGTCCCCTACTGATAGTGTTAATTTGCCACTTCTCACATCTATAACTGCTCCTGCTGTGTTAAGGAATGGTCTACCCAAAATGATTGGGGTTTGCATATCCTCAGCCATATCAAGAACAACAAAATCAACAGGTATATAAAATTTACCTACTCTAACGGGAACATCCTCTAAAACACCTAAGGGGTATTTGAAAGAATGGTCGGCCATTTGTAGAGTGATATTAGTAGCTTTTAATTTACCCATATTCAACTTGGAACACACAGATAATGACATAACACTAACGCTAGCACCCAAATCACACAATGCATTATCAATCATTAGGTTGCCAATATGACAAGGGATAGAAAAACTACCCGGATCTTTTAATTTAGGTGGAGATTTATTTTGAAGTACGACACTACACTCTGTAGTGAAAGCTACTGTCTCTACCTCACTAATAGACCTTTTTCTTGTCAATATTTCCTTCATAAATTTTTCATATGCAGAAATTTTTGTGATTAATTCAGTGAAGGGAACTGTTACCTTCAAATCTTTTACCATCTCCAGAAACTTACCAAACTGCTTATCCAAATTTGTTTTCAAGTGACGATTGGGGAATGGAAGTTTGATAACTGGCTTTGGAGCATTATTGCTCTTATCTGGAGTGGCAACCTTCTTTGTAGTCGTACCCTGCAATGTAGAATTAGATATATTAGTACTATGCTTTAGCCCTAAAGGGCTATTAGCTACATTGTCTAGTTTAACGGAATCAAGATTATCATTATTCATTATAACAGGTTCATCAACTCTGGGCATAGGGGGCCCTTCATAGTTTGAACCACTCCCTAGAGTAATTGCATAGGCTTGATCCGTAGGCCTAGTCGGCTGTGCTGGCAAAGCTCCCTGTTGGCGGGCTTGTAGAATAGCGGAAAGTTGCGCAATTTGATTATCTACACTTGTATTGTGTGCTAGAATTGAATCGATTTGTGCATCTCTACTCTCCATGTGCTTCTGCATATTAACCAGCATCGCTCTAATTTCTACCAAAGCAGGGTCGGAAGATGAGGAGGGTTGTTGTGGTTGGTTCTTCTGGCCAGCATTGGGGTGGTAATATTTCTGTTGTAGTTGTTGTGGCGCCTGTGGTTCTTGTGGTGGTGGATTTTGAATATTAGTGCTCCGATTGGAAAGGTACGGATGATTCCGGTACCCAGGATTGTAGGTGTTAGAGTATGAGTTATTCTGCCTATAAGCTTGAAAGGCATTAACTTGCTACACGGAACTCCTGTAATCTTGCTCCCAATGACCTAAAATTCCACAATTTTCACAGAAAGCCTCATTAGCATTATTATTAATTGCAGAAACATTATCTATATTAGCATTGCTAAGATTATCTAATTTCTGGCAGATAGAGGTTAATTGAGCTTGCAAAAAGGATATAGAGTCAACACTATATGCTTCCCCTTGTTAGCAAAACCTCTAGGATTCCCATAATGGGAATTATGTATCGCCATATCTTCAATAACCTAACCTGCATCATCAACATTAAGATTCATAAACCTCCCACTAGCTGCAGAATCTAAAATTATTCTAGATGAATTTCCAATGCCATTGTAAAAGGCTTGGATTAACTGACATTGTTCCAAATTATGGTGGGGGCATTCTCTTTGTAGGTCCTTGAATCTCTCCCAAGACTCATATTGAGTTTCATCGGCTTCTAGGGAAAAGTTCTGAATTGCACTCCGTAGTACGGTTGTTCTCTCTGCAGGATAATACTTGTTATAAAAATTCAAAACAAGAGTTTCCCAGTCAGTTATACCAAGTGCAGTTCTATTTAAACCATTAAACCATAATTTGGCTTTTCCAGTTAAAGAGAAAGGAAAGAGAATCTCCTTGATTTGGTCTTGTGTGACCCCGACTTTCCTGATGGTATTACAATACTAACAATAGTCTGCAATGTGAAGATTTGGGTGTTCACCCTTAGCTCCACTAAATTGCTTCCTCTCTATCATCGTTATAAATTGGGGTTTAATCTCAAATTGTACCCCATCAGGAGTCGGAGTGGGAGTGAGGTGTGGAAAATCTGTAAGCTTTGGTTGTGAGTAATCACTAAGCTTCTTTGGAGCCGTCATCTCTGATTCTGGATCAGATGATACCTCTGAATCGCTAGAACCAGTTGGTGGATCTCGGTGATTATTATTATCACCAAAATCCGCCAGAATTTGTTTGTAAAAATTCTTCTGTCTATGGAAGGATCGTTCGATCTTAGGATCGAATGGGATGAACCCTTATCTGGAACACCTGGGCATAAAAAAAAAAAAACTAAAAGCAAATATGAGACTTGCCTCAAAGAACTAACGTTCTCTGAGACAAAAAGAAATAACCTAGACTATAAAAATAATCAGAAACAAAATTAAAATTAAACCGTTTCCCCGGCAACGACGCTAAATTTTGACAGTGTAAAGTCGTATCCCCTAATCAAAAGTAATTCCTAAATCCTTTAACTAATGTAGATAGGGAAGTAGGGTCGAATCCACAGAGAAACGAGTCTTTTTATTCCTAATTAATTAAAGTAATCTAAATTATAAAGTAACCAATATGTAAATTTGGAAATGAAACTAAAATACGAAGATTAAGAATAAGGAGAAAACAATGAATAAAAGAATCTAGGGCATAGGTTCACCAATAAATAATATTCTAGGGTAAAACACAATAATCAATCATCAATGCATATATTAATTAGATCATAAAGGGCTTTCGCTACGTATTACAATCACACAATTAATTTACCGGTATTAAATCTCATCTTTTGAATCTCGACTTAACCATTTATAAATTAACTTGCCTATTGAAACTAGACCTAAACATTAATTCTAATCTGTCGAATCTCGAATCAATATTGTTAAATTCATGCATAAAAGATCTGCGCAAATGTAGTCACAGAGCATTAAATCAATCATTAGGAAATTAATCTAGCATTGACAATTAACAACCAAGAATTACCCCTTCATATTATTTATGGATCCCCATAAACCCTAGAAATAGAAATACTCACACATAATAAAAACTAAACTAATCAAAGAAATAAAGCAAGACATGATCAAAGGAATAAAATAAATAACTAAGATTAAGAGAAGAGAAATTGTTACCAAAGAAATCTGGAATTAAGAATAGAGTTAAGAACAAAGTATAAGAGAGAAAACTAATCTAAGAGCTAAGTAGAGAGAGAAAATCTAAAAGAGAATTAAGAAAAAGTAAAGTGAAGGTAATTAAAAATTACGTACAAAATTCGTACTTAAACATCCCTAAAACAAATCCTTAAACAAAACTAATCAGATCCCCTAAAAAACACGCGCCCGATCGGGCCCGTCTTTTTCTAAGCATACTCTTCTAAACAGCGGCGCTCGATCGAGCTACACTACCACAAAATAGGGAATAAGTAACACACAATACACAACGGTCAAGTCTCATAGGCGATCTCAAGAATTATACAGATCGCCTATGTATGATAAGCGTTTTGTATGTTAAAACTTATAGAGCGCCTGCCTAAGTTAACAGCTCAATTTGATACATCCAAATTTACTCTATACAATATAGAACGCCTATGTAAGATAGGCGTTCTATAAGTATTATAATTTTAATAAAAAAAAAGTTGAACGTATCATTTACTTCCCACATCCCGCCTAACCCTAATATATACTAGTACTTTGTATACCAATAGAGCCGCTCCCTTTCTACCATCTTCTAGCTCTTTCTCACTTCCTTTATTTCTTATCAAATATTAAGATCTTCCTGGCTCCCTCCTCTCTCTCTCTCTCTCTCATCGTCCCCCTCATCCTCTATCTACAAATCCCAAGCAACACCATCGTTCAGCTTCCCACGCCTACAAGTACACCACCTATCAACATTTTCATGCCCACCATTAAGCCACTAGCCACCGTTGAGCAACGTTCGTCCACCACCGAGCTACGAGCCATCGTAGACCCACGAGCGTCTAACGACGGGACACCATTGAGCCATGAGATGTCGATCTGAGCCTTTAATTGGTCAAGGTTATTGAACTTCAGATCTGAGCCCTCATCCTCTATACTTCAATATTTACAACAAGCAGGTTGTTATTTTTTCACCATTTTTATTTGTTTTCTGTTCATATTTATAAATCTAGCTTTTCTTATTTTTGTTTTTAATTTAGATTTCCAATTATAATTGTTTGATGTTTTCGTTATTACTTAGATCTGATTTTATCTTTAATTATCTTTGAGTTTGTGTTAATTTATTTAATTTTGCTAATTGTTTGGGTGTGTGGCGGATTTTGTATCTGATTTTGTATGTAGTGTGGTGGATTTTTTAGGGGTTGTGCTGTAGGTGGTGGTGTGGGTCCTGGGGGTGTAGGTGGTGGTGTAGGTTGTTGTACTGCAATGGTCCGGGGTGTGTAGTTAGTGGTGGTATTTTGCTATGTTGGTGCTCTTTATACAATTGTTTTGTAATTTTTATTCTTTTGATGCATACGCAGATATGAGTGGACATGAACCGATAGAACAATTCTCGAGACAATGCGAAGACGCAGCAATGCTACTGCATAACATTAAAATTGATCTTAAATTGTATGATTTGTGTTATATTTAGTTTTTAATTGTATTTGAGTTTTTCTATGTACATGTATTTTTTTATTAATTGAAGTTATAATGAGAAACTATACTTTTGGTGTTTTTTTGTAATTGTAGATATATATTATTTGAATTATTATTATTGTTATTAATATTAATAATATTAATAACAATAATAATATTTTGTTTTTTTTTTGAAAAAAAAGTAAGGAAAAGAGAACGCCTATCTATGATGGGCATTCTCTATTTACATTCTTATAGAGCGCCTATCTTTAGATAACCGCTCTTTATCCCATGTTTTTTATTTAATTTGTACTTAGGATATGAAGCGCCAATCTTGGATAGGCGATTCGTATTGTGTAAGATATAGAACGCCTCAAAGAGGCGTTCTGTAGACTTTATAGGGCACCCCCTCAGAAGAATGCCTCTGAGGCGTTCTATATTGCATGTTTTAGGCGTTCTGTATTCCCATTTTTGTGATAGTGTAGCAGCTCACCCGATCGGGCGCGCCTTTGGTCACGCACCAGCGCACTCTCGCGCCACGCCCGATCGAGCTAAGCTTGCCCGATCGGGCCCTTGCTTTACCTCGAGGCTTGGAACTTTGATTGGGCTTATTTCTTCGGCCCAATCCAGATATCCACTTAGGGCCTTGGGCTTCAAAGATGGTCGTGCTCCTCTAATTTCCGTAGTTAATCCATGAAAACCTGGGAAAATGCTCCAAAAGTGCAAATATCATGCAAAACTCAACCAAAACTACGAAAACACTAGAAAACACTAATTAGTAATAAAAGTGGCTCTAAAGAGCCAAAAACACTACTAATTATGACCATGGGATGGGGGTAAAACACTATATAAAATAGACATATTAATAATTCGTTCCAATATGTAGCCTGATATCTTGTATCACGGTCAGAAACAATCGAACTAGGTACCCCATGTAACCGCACTATGGTGTTCACATATAATTCAGCAAGTTGATCCAGACTCCAGTTTATTTTTCATTGCTATTAAATGTGCATATTTTGTTAATCGATCCACAATGACCCAAATAGCATTCATTCCTTTAGTTGAACTTGGAAGTCCTATGATAAAATCCATTGATATCGAGTCCCATTTCCATTCTGGTACATCCAACGGTTGTAACAAACCTGCTGGTCCTTGATGTTCTATCTTAATTCTCTGACACGTCAAACATTTAGCTATAAATTCCGCCACTTCTTGCTTCATGTTACTCCACCAGTACATTTGTTTCAAATCCTTGTACATTTTGTTTCCTCCAGGGTGAATCGAGTATGGTGAACTATGAGCTTCCTCTAAAATCTTCTTTTTCAACATCTCTTCATTGGGAACACATAATCTACCTTGAAACCTTAATGTTCCATCCTCCTAAATTACAAAACTGGGGATTTCCCACTTCGTACCTCATTCTTTATTCTTTCCAATTGTAAGTCCTTACTTTGGGCCTCCTTAATTTCATCTATCAATGTCGGTCTTATCTCTAGTGTATTTAGACAAGCATTCCCATCCTTGTGAATAAATTCGATTCCCATCTTTGTAAGTCGTTATAGTTGGCTTGGGAAAAAGGTAAGATTGAACTCAGGCGAGCTTTACGACTTAAGGCATCAGCAACAACATTAGCTTTGCCAGGATGGTATTGGATACTTACATCATAATCTTTTAAGAGTTCCAACCATCTACGTTGTCTCATATTCAGCTCGTTTTGGTAAAAATGTACTTGAGGCTTTTATGGTCAGTGAAAATTTTACATGAAGCACTGTATAAGTAATGTCTCCATATTTTGAGTGCAAAAATTACGGCAGCAAGTTCAAGATCATGAGTGGGGTAATTTTGTTCATGCATTTTGAGCTGGCAAGAAGCATAAGCTATGACTTTATCATTTTTCATCAATACACATCCTAAACCATGCTTAGAGGCATCACTATAAATAACAAATCCTTCTGTTCCAAATGGAAGGGTGAGAATAGGAGCAGTGGTGAGACGTTTCTTAAGTTCCTGAAATCCAGACTCACAATCTTTATCCCAAATAAACTTGGTATTTTTCCTCACAAGTCGAGTTATAGTAATGCAACCTTGGAAAAGTCTTTAACAAATCTTCTATAATATCCAGCTAAGCCCATAAAACTTCGTACATCAGGAACGTTGGTTACTCTAGGCCATTCCACAATTGCTTTTATTTTCTCAGGATCTACAAATATTCCCTTATAAGAAATAATGTGCCCCAAAAATGATATTCCTTAAGCCAAAACGCGCACTTTGTTAATTTTTCATATAACTGGTTCTTGATCAAGGTATCTAGCACTATTATCAAATCTTCCTCATGTTCCTTATTATTCTTATAATACACCAAAATGTCATCAATAAAAACAACAACAAACATATCGAGGTATGGTTTAAAAATACAATTCATCAAATCCATAAACACAGCTGGTGCATTAGTTAACCCAAATGGCATTACAACAAACTCATAATGACCATATCGCGTTCTAAAGGCAGTTTTTGGAACATCTTCAGATTTAATGCGGAGTTGGTGATATCTAGACCTCAAATCAATCTTTGAGAATACTTTTGCACCTCAAAGTTGGTCAAATAAATCATCAATACGAGGTAAAGGGTATTTGTTCTTGATTGTGATCTTGTTTAGCTCTCTATAATCGACACATAACCTCAAACTTCCATCTTTTTTCTTCACAATCAAGATAACCACATATCCTCTTATCAATCTGGTGAGCTTTCAAAGCAGAGACTATTTGGATCTTTGGTTTTCTTTCAAACTTTTGATAGGATATCCTTTATCCATTTGGAGCCTTAAGGGTTAAACTTTGCTCAACACAATCAATTTTGGCCTCATGCTTAGTTAACCAATCCATACCCAGAATTATGTCAAACTCACATAGGTCAAAAGCTATCAAATTAACTGGGAATTTGACTCCCTCTAAAATAATTGGACAGTCTCTATACATGGTTCCACATTTTACGGTTTCTCCAGTAGGGAGGGAAACACTCATGCCAATAAAGTCATGATATGGTTTCAATTGCAAAATATTGGCAAATATTGGGGAAATAAAAGAATGTGATGCTGCAGAATCAAAGAGAACATGAGCATGTGAAGAATGGATAGAGAAATTACCAGTGATCACAGTGTCATCATTGGCTGCCTCATCCTGTCTCATCACATAAACTCTTCCAGTTATGGGTGGTCGAGGTAGATTTCGATTTGTGCCTCCTGTGTTGGTGTTGTTCCTTCCCCGATCTGCACCAGATGGAGCTGGTCCCTTTGAAATTGGTGTAACTGTTATGAACTTAGGACAATCCTTAATATAATGACTAGGACTCCCACATCGGTAGCAAGTATTGGTACCGACACCACATTCATTCTCATTATGGCTTCTCCTTCCACATTTAGCATACACTACTTGAGATCTATTATTCTGATTTTTGTTCCCTCCTTGCTGACCTTGTCCTCTATTACCAGAGTAACCCCCTTGTTGACTTTGGTTTTGCCTCTTTGTTCCTCCTTGGTTTTGGTTATCATTCCTCCTCTTATAGCCAACATTTTGTGCCTCTCGTAGTAATACAACCCTTTCCACATTAACTGCTACGTCAACCATATCTTGATAAGAAGTAAATCGTTGAGATGATAGTCTGTCCTGATATTTCAAATGGAGACCTCGTTCGAAACGATTCATCCTAGATTGTTCTGTTGATACTAATTCTGGTGCAAACCTTGATAACTCCATGAATTTGTTTGCGTAATCCAGCACACTCATGGTTCCTTGTTGCAAGTGGAGGAATTCATCTTCTTTTTGTCTCCTCAAAGACAATGGATAAAACCTATATCGCATCAACTCTTGGAGTTTGGTCCAACTAAATCCTGACTCATTCTTCCTTTCCTTGTTGACCTTCCACCACAAACTTGCTTGACTAGTGAGATAAAATGTAGCAAAGTCAACTTTGATTCTTTCAGGACATCGCAAGGTCTCGAACAACTGATCCATCCGGTTAATCCAATCTTCAAACTCAACTGGATCAAGCTTACCATCATATGATGGTGGGTTAAGGGATGAAAACTTTTTAAACATTGACGCACTATCTTCCTTATTCGTATTTTTCTTTTTCCTGGAATCTTGAACTAGTTCAGCTAACAAAGTACTCACATTCTTGAGTCGTCCCATTCTTTCTTCGTACTCTTCTAAGGGGTGCTCCTTGTTGTTTTCCTCATGGACATTTTCTTCGTGGACCATTTCATTTCTTATAAAAACATCGTTCAGGGTTCCTTTGGTATAACACCCTAGAAATTCCTTTCTTTTAAAATACCTGTTTTTCCCTGTTTAAAAATTTAAATAGGAATATCTAAGATATTACCGCCACCGTGAAAACGGCTAAGGCAACCATCAAAGACACACAGCAGAAGACTAATTTCAAAACCATTCAAAACAAGTCAACTTGAAAAGTTAACCAACGAAAGTAAAGTCAAAACCAAAGTCAAACCATCTTGTTTCACCTTTTTCCCACTATGGGATTGTTGGTGGTTATATCATCCTTGCCTCCTTGGCAATCTGTCAAGCTTGCCTTACTACCTTGTTCAAATAATTCCATTACTAAAATTGCTTCTTGTTACCATACTTTATTGATGATAAAACTGGTTGCTATATATGTTAGTTTGAAACACATAGATTCCTCTTATTCATATCAACTAACACCAACCACTAAACTCAATCAAGAAACAATTATCATTTAATTCGAATTTAGGTTTGAGGTAAAAAAAAAAATTATGTCCTCATTCCCAATAATTCGAATACATAAAATCTTGATTGATAAACAACCAAAATTCATATACTTAAAAAAACAATCAAAACTAAAAAAAAATAAAAAAATATCCCCATTAACTGCTACAAACAAAGGGAAGAAAGAAATGAGTAGCACTTGGAAAACAATAGAAATCATAAGGTTGTTGAACAACTCTAAAAGATTAGGTGAATAAATTCAAGAATTTTCTCCAAAATGATAGCATTGCTACCCATAATGACTCCTTGAAGTAAAATAATTATCCTCATATCCCAAGTGAAAGGATAAATACTCATAACTCCTAAATAACATATGTCAATATTCTCAAGGTAGAACATGTGACAATGTATTTAAGGTCCAACATAACAAGAGTCCTCAATATTCCAACAAGATCATAACTTCTCAAAACTCCAACCATATATTAAAATATATATGCTCAATTCTCCATCCCAAATTAAATAACTTTAATCATAAGAAATGATAAGTCACCAAGCTTAAAATGTCAAACTTCAATTGATCTGCATTGAGTATCCCTCAACTCATATAATAATTTTCATCATTACTCATCTCTAATCAATTCCTATGCTCACCTCTCTTGGGCTCTTGTTCAATTTCGATTCCAATTCAAACTCATACTCAAAGACAAAACATATTCCTCAGAATAGATAATATCCCAAATGATTTCATCCTTAAGCTCCTTAACCATATGCATTAAAATCAATCTCTTTATCCTTATAACTTGGTGTCTCCATACACAAGTGTACAAAACACAAATTACTCATTTTTAATATCTATACAACGTATATTAACAACAAATATCCCAAAAACAATACTCACATTCATGTGATGATGTGCATCCAAATTTCTTCGAAAATACATCTCAAATAAGACCATTGAAGCGAACCATCCTAACATAAGCAATTGAACTCTCCTTAACATTCCTCAAAATTCTCATCATAGAAACTCACAGGGTATAGATTTAGGGATCCTACAAGAAAACGGGATTAACTACCAATAGCAAACCCTTCCCATAACCATATAATACAGTTCTTGCTAAAAATTAAGTTCAACGTTCAATCAAACAATCTTGATAGCTCACATATAATGATTCACATATTACATGTTGTCATCAATAAACATTTAGTCATACAACATGCTTGAACACCTCTTAAAAAATACATATATGCACATAGGAAAGAAATTAAATTCTAGCCTATATGCCCTTTCTTCTCCTACCCAAGCTCACCAACATGCTTATAAAAGCTTTTAACACATATTTCTTACCTCAATCCTTACTTTCCTACAACATGAACAAACTAAAAATATTTTTGACTCCTTTTTTTTTTTTTAGAAATTCAAAAATAAGCTTTGAAAAAGACCGAAAAATTTTCGGCTTTCTTAAAAAAAAATTCGGACATCCTTAATAAAAAAAAGTAATTCGGATGTTCTTCATAAAAAAAAATGGTCATTCCTAAAATAAAAACAAAAATAAAATTCAAAACAATTTATTTTAACAGCGTTTAATTAAATAAGCACTTGGCCAAGTTTTAAAACAAAACACTTTAAAATACATTTTTTTGCTTTAGTGGTAATAAAATCTCGACCAAAGCTCCCAGATACCACTTTGTAACACCCTAGAAATTCTTTTCTTTTAAAATACCTGTTTTGCCCTGTTTAAAAATTTAAATAGGAATATCTAAGATATTACCGCCACCGTGAAAACGGCTAAGACAACCATCAAAGACACACAGCGGAAGACTAATTTCAAAACCATTCAAAACAAGTCAACTTGAAAAGTCAACCAACAAAGTAAAGTCAAAACCAAAGTCAAACGAAGTAAAATAAAACCATCCTACAACTTGGAACCATTGTAGGACCTTATTAAAACCAAACCAACTTTAAAACTTTTGCGTCAGTCATGCATGATAATAATATCATAAATAATTAAAACATTAAACACATCATATACTTATAGAAACTAGCATGATTCGCTCTTCACTCATGCCCATTCATGAATATTCTTCATCACCTGAAAACCTCCTCTCTACTTGTCCCCACTACTCGCCATTAAAAAATGGGTCGTCGTAAGGCCAAAGTAAATACATGGCCAAACACACAAACACACACAATCAACAAGCTGAGTACATAAGCGTAATTAAACACAATAACATGCTTTCACCTATCAACACACACTTACCTCATTGCACCTGTTTACAAGCACACACAATAATCAACAAGACACATTAACTAGACACTAAATAATTCATTTAGCGTTGATTATGCATCGAACAAGTTTCCAACTATACCTCCCCCAAATAAATTGAGGTTAACTGACACGGGAGCTAATCGTGCCAGCGACAAACCACTCAAAGGTGGCGGAATTCCTGCGCATAGTAATAAATAAAAAGGAATGTACAGCGTCCTGTACTCCATTAGAAGTTATGGTTAAATATAAAACCCCATAACTCCCCCCATTGTTCATACTCAAGGTATATACGTTCCAAGAGTTTTGGTGCATAATCTCTTTCACTTTACGTTATTTACGTGTTATTAGACTTGGTGATGACCCTCAAAGCATAATAAATCAATCAACAATAATTATTCAATAAACCAAACATACCAATTTAATTCTTGAATAATTAGTGATCACATATTATTTAATGTTGAACCCCTTTTAATTCTACCTCAATGTCAAAGACACCTTAAACGCATAAAGCGCCAAAATCCTATCCCTCGGTGTTAAAAACACCTTAAGTGCACAAAGTCACCAACATACAATTTATTCCTCGTGTACATATACACTTATATAGCTCCTTCCTCATGCTTAAAGCATCAATAAAAAATTATATGAACCATAATAAAATTCCTTTACAATATTCCAAGCCAAATTAAACATGTAGTTTAATTAAACATGCACTCTAACATGCCATAATTAAAAGTAAATTCCATATAATCATGCCAAAATCTAATTTTCAAATCCATAGACTATCACAAATAATTCATGCTTCACAATTCAATCACCAACACCAATACTTCACAATTCCATACGTAAACCTTAGCATGATACTACTTGTAATTGATTGAAATCAAGCCTAGCATGATTCTACATCATCAAATATGCTAAGTACGCGAACATACCTCAAATAAGCCCTTAAAATAGCCAATTACACTACAACAATTCCCGAATTAAGTCTCCTTTTTGTGTGGGAAATTTTTGGGGATTCATAGGGCATTTATACAGTAGAGAGTGTAGGGTTAAATTTGTGCTTATAAAAATGCGGGCTTGAGTTATGGGATAGGGCTTAAGTTATGAGTTTTAATGGGTTATTCCAATAAGAGTACGTAGGAATAATTATATTGCCCAATAATTAATAAACGTTTGGCCCAAAACATATTTTACTTTTATAAAACTTTATATTTAAAATACTTTAACCCTTTAAAATATTTAATTAAAATTCTTGAGACCTTGACAATACATTTTATTAATACTTAAATACTTTATAAAAATACATAAAAATACGGGGCATTACATTTGGAGGCATCGGTAGTTTCCTTGTAACTTGCCATTCTGCACATCAAATGTGATTAAGAAAACTAAGAATGGAAAAATAAGCCCCTTTATCCCGTTCCTCCACTCACACTCAATTATATTATATTATATTATATTATATTATATATATATATATGTGTGTGTGTGTGTGTATTTTAACATATTTTATTAGCTAGTGATCTTATTCTAAAAATCTAATCAACTTTATATATAAATGTAAAACCATTAGGGTTTCACAGGAACCATTGCTCTAATACCACGTTGTAACACCCCGACCTCTAATTCAGTTATTAAGAAACTCTTAGCAACGGAATTAACCTAACACGGTCGGGACGTCACTGCCGTAAATCCCTCATGAGATTTACAAGGCAACAATCATACTTAATTACAAACTTTATTTATAAAATATAGTAATCCATTTATTACAAACATTATTCTTATTTTTATAATAACAAATCCTATATTATCACAACTTACTAGGTAGCTTTGTCTTACTATTCAAATAAACAACTTAAAATTATAACTACTATTAAGTGATAACTGGAAGTAAAATCCTCGCTACTACTCGTCTCCATCATCCCCATCAGTACCTAAAACATAAAAACATAAAAACGGGTGAGCCGAAGACTCAGTAACGAACTACTCTAGTAGTGTAATATCATTTCTTTTCATTTTAGTTAACAAAATAGGGAGAATGGAATATCTTAAAACATTTAATAAAGTTCATATAATGATATATATAACGTTCATATTAACATGCTAGTTGCTGGCAAGTATGACATGGCGGAATGTTTTCCGCGATGGGCCGGTGCCCATAACATAGAGCAGATGCTCGACATAGTTAGGCTAATGCCCCATGGGTACATGCATGACCGAGAAGTAACCTGTAAACATATACTGCCAGAC